TGGTCCAGAAATCTGGCTGCAAGGGAGTGGTGGCAGGCAACATTAACTGCTGCAGCTGTGGGAGCCACAGCAATTAACACTGCCACCACTCTTCCCATTGCCAACTTTATGGACTGGTATGGAACCCCCCAGATGGATGACATGGCCTCAAGCACCAGATCAGGCCAGCACACAGGGTTGGTCCATAGCAATGGACCATACCCAGCATGCCAGATTGAACCAGCATGTAAGGGTGGTCTGAGGGCCCCATCTGGCGCACACGGCTTGCAGCAAGCTAAGGAGCTGGCTCAGCTTTCTAGAAGCTGAGTTACTTCTCAGTTACTTACTCATACTGCAAGCTAAGCCTTTTTTTTCTTTATGCTGCATTTCAAAAACAGACTCCTATACTCCTAGGTGTGCTACATGCAAGAAAATATGGTATATACCTAAGGACACATCAGCCCTTTTGAGCACACTATCCCATTAGGAGCTCATATTCAGCTAATAATACAACATGAGCCCCAAGTCCTTCTCGAAGTCACTACTTGCCAGGGACTAGCCAAGCAATTGCATTGCACTTGATCATTATGCTCTGTGGATGTTTCTCGCTATATTACTGTCATACCTGGGAAAGATGCTCTACCAAAGCTGTAAGAAGAATACAATTCATAAAATAGCAAAATACTGGTTTGACTTTGAAAGTTAGTATCTAGACAGCAAAGCTGCACAATTCAAGCTAACTTTCTGCATTGGTGTTTAGTTTGCAAAAAGAATTGCATTTTCTGCCAACACGAAACTTTTCCACGATTACTTTATTCCAACCCTTAAACTTCCTACAAAATATTTCTACAGGGACAAGAAACTGTCACACATTTGACAATTTCAGTGGAGTTTTCTAGGTACATACCACAAGTTTTAAAACCTTGGGAGTATGTTGTTTGCCATTCTGTTTGTGTTACTTTATCCACAGTATGCTGGTAATATAAATATGGCTGGCTCAATGCATTAGTGCATCACTGAATAAAAATGAGAGCTCAGTTTCTAATCGATAGACCTCAATGTGCTTTTCAGCTGTGGCACTTACCCACATTTGACAGATGGGCAGACTGAATCACAGAAAGATGAAGTGATTTGCCCAGTCATACATTCAGGGAACAGCAAAACTGAGACTAGAATGCAGGATTCCAGATGCATGTTTCCTGCCCATCCCTTGGTCTCCTCAGATAGCATCTGTACAGAATGATATTATCTTTAGAAAGACTTAGCACTATAATTTTCTTCCCAGGGCTCTCATGGAAATAAGATATTTATAACTCCATTAAGGCTTTTATACTAATTTTACGATCAACATGAAGAAATAAGTAATGCTCTGCCAGTCAGTGGCATGTATCCATTCAGAATAACATTGGACACGAAAGCTTCTTGTTGACTACTTCACTGAAAAATGCTCACTCTCTAATGCCTTCCTTATGCCCAATTCCTATCCACTATGTACCACTCAAAAGGAATTTTTTTTTGTCACATGATAAGTAAAAGCATTTAGATTGCACCAAGTACTTGGGAAAGAGGATTACTTCCAAGGACGTCTAATGTTTTCTATTACATAACATAACGATTTAAAACTGCTTTTGAAAAGAGTGAGAGCCATTAACTTGCCACTTTCACCCAGGATGCACAAAAATACCTTTGTATCTTCAGTGATCCCTTGAACTTGTATAAAGTTCATAGAGGCTGGTGGTTGTCAAGGCACCCCTCAAGAGACTCAAGGCAACCCTCAGAAAATGCCAGCTCTTAGCTTTCATTTATTTCTTGACTACAGAAAAGTAATAGAGCATTTTTCTATTGCAAAGATTTTAGAAAGACCACAACAGGTAGAGATATCTTTAACACACTGGACTGCTCTTTGAAGTCTCTGGGTTTACCTGGGTGCTGTGTAACCCAGGTTGAGAATCACTCATATAAATACCATAAATAAAAAACTAACTGCAAATACTTATTTAGTGATCCATGGGTCAGCATCCTACAGCCCATGGGTTGCATCCAGCATGCAGAGAGCTTGGATCTGGTCCAAGGTTTGATCCACTGCATGTTTTATTAATAGCTGGCCAATTGCCTATTGCTGTTTCAACCAAAAGATCTTTTCCACCTTTTACTAGAGGTTATCCAGTCCCTGATTCTCACTTCAGGGGTCCCTGGTCTGTGGAGAGGAATGCTCTTTCCTCCCCCTGCCCACTGACACTGAAGCCTCTGCTTACCCTCACCATTGAGTTAACTGGTCCAAGTTGTTGCTTGTCATGCTTTTTTGCATTGCTTTTTCAAGGAAGACTACATTAAGAGGAATGAGAGGGCAGCCCTGCACAGAGCAGGGACAGCTGGAGCAGCAACATGTGATCAGCAGCCCACAGGAATGGCTGGGTTGAAAGTGCTGGCCCATCATTGGAACAGGTTGCCAGCTCCTGATTGGGCCATGTTTTAGCAAAGCATATGCTAAGTTTAAGTATATCTTTACCTTTAAGTGTGTGCTTAAAGCAATGTACACAGCGAAGCCCATTTCTACTTGGGAAAATGCTTTAGCACCTCATGGAAATTGGGTGTAAGCGTTTTTTTTTTTAACAAAAAGCCATTTTTACCTTACCCTTATCTCAAAAGCCACAACTATGTCTTTTAGTCCCAAATACAACCTGGGCAATATGCCCGGTATGACTAAGCTTCTAGTTCATAGAGAAGTAAGGCTGGAAGGGACCTCAAGAGATCCTTGTGTCCAGCTAGGGATTATCTGAACTGTAGAATAAGCTCCCTCCAGAGGTGGTGCAATCACCTACCCTGGAAATCTTCAAGAAGAGACTAGACAGTCACCTTGCTGGGCTCACCTGACCCCCAGTTATCTTTCCTGTTTGGCGCAGGGGGCTGGACCTGACGATTTTCCAAGGTCCCTTCTGGCCTTACAATCTATGAATCACTTCTTGTTTCTATGCTGATATGTAAATGGCCCAATCAACTACCCTGCAAATGGACTGAATTCCACCACTGGAGTAATGAAAGAGACTGCTCCCGGCCCACTTGAGCTGCCTGACTGTCAAGCACAGATGAGAGGAGCCTCCGACAGAGGCTTAATAGGGGGACGGCATGAATGAAGTAGAGGTTCTTTCAGGAGATGTCTGCTTCTTATGAAAGGCATTGCTTCCACCATACTTAGAAGAGAAAATGCAGATTGTGAGTTGTCATTTTAATACAAAATATTTCAGTGAAAAATGTCTTTTTCAACAAGATCCTCAGGATAGATCTGTTTTGAATGAAAATGTTGGGTTTTGATCACAGAAAGAGACAGACAGAGAGTTTTAATTTTTCTTAAAACATTTGTCATTTTTTCCACCAAAACCCAAAAACATTTTAAGAAAAACTTGAATTACAGCAAACATTTTTGTGGTCATAAATCCAGAGTTATCTTAAGAACCAATTTTTTGTGTGTATTTTTCCCCTTGCCAAGAAGACCTGTTTCGTGTGTTATACCATCAGAAGAGGAGACTAAGTATTCCTAAATAAATGAGTGCCAAAGCTAAATTTGACAATCCCAGACTCAGTGCTCTGATGACTTGTAAATAGTCAGGTTTTATCAGGCTGGAATAGCAGGTGCAGTAAGCACTTTCAGTTTCTAAGGTTTCAGCAGGGTTGCCCATTAGGTTTGGCTAAATAGTTCTATTTTGCAAATATATGCAAAAAACCACCCATAATGATAACTCTGAATGAGGTGATTTTAGCATCATGGATGTTAGTATCTTGAAACACACCACTTATGCAAAGAAATACAGTGCCAAATTCTGCAGTCGGTTACGTATTAAATGAAGTTAAACATTTATAGTTGAGAGCTGGTAGTGGCCTGCTGTGCATTCTGGGTACCCGAGTAACCTATACAACGTTTACCTCTCTAGCAATAAACTAAAATGCAGATTCCCAGTCCCTGGAAATGACCAGGAATCTTTCCAGTGACTCCAACAGGCTTTACATCAATCAACATGGGCCTAATGCTAAGAGATGACAAGCTCCTGCAACTCCTGTTATATTCAGAGGAAGTTGCAGGGGGAGAGTATATCCAAAATCAGGCCCTAACAAAGCAGTTATATGTAACAGAAGAGGTAATGAAAGGAATGCATAGGTATGACTGACGTCCCATATCTCTGCATGTGCCTTTTGATGTTGGAAATGGTTCAACAGGCTTGGATGGTGTATGGTGTTCTAGTCTTGGTCCACCCCATCAGGAAAAGCAGCGATATCAAATGCGTAAAATCAACTGGGAGATGACACAACAAGGAGCTGCTGCACATATATTCCTGCCTCTGCCCCCTTCTGGCACAGCATGGTACTGGAAGTATACTGTCCTCCCTGTGGCATCCCAAAGCATTTTAGCCAATCATCCCTGTTCTGGAGTCCAGTTAATCAAGACTTTATAAAATAGTCTCCACTGCCCTTTGAATGAGTAATCTCTACTTAAAGTTAAAGAGGTGTCTGTAAAATGATAATTTCCTATGAAGCTATTATACTGTATTAAATATGACAGCAATTAAGTGTTGTATCTTCCAGCAAGATGGATTCTTAGCTTGCTCTACAGCTGCCTTTAACTGCCTTCTTTTATTAGATTTTCTTTCAGGGGTAGGTATTTTTAGATGTGTGCAACATCCAAGAGAGTTAGATTCTCAAGTGCTGTAAATCATACTAAAAAAAACCTACCCCAACCAAAACAAAAGTCTTCCAGATCTTGGACAGCCTTTTCTTGAAGATATTCTAAATGGCAAGCAAACATAATGGGAAAGGCTTTGTTATATAAACAGAGGACCCAATCCTGTGCCCTGAGACAACCAAAACTCGGCCAAAGCTAACAGGAACTTCAGCTGCCTCGGAGGAGAGAGGGTCGCTCTCACTTTCCATATTTTCAGTCTTCCAGTGACAAACATGTTTCATTCACCATTGTTTGTCCTTAATTTAGTCCCAGGAGGCTGGGTCCTCATCTGGTATTAATCACATTTGGACACATGAACAGAGAGGCAAAGCACAAAGCTTGCTGTGCCAGCTGTGCACAAAGTATGAGAAATGAGCACAGACACAGGCACTTAGAGGCATGAAAGAGAACTGCCCCTGATTCACACCAGGGTAAATTTGCCCTGCAGGGGGCAGGACTAGATCACCTTTAGGGACAGTGTCAAATGACTGCAGCATTTTCAAATGGGGACAGCCTGACCTGCCACAGGTTAACCTGGCCATGTGTCTGTGGCCTCAGAGTAGCTCCAACAAGCACAAACTATGCTAGTGAACACCAGCTGAGGATCTGACGCTGAGGGTCTAATTCACTGCTGTCCTGCACTTTGCGTACAGCAGTGGAAAAGGGCTGTAAAACACTGCTGTTCTCATTTGCCGGCACTTGACATGTTCTTCACTCTGGTGTGAATGAACCTTCAGGGCAACAGAAAACTTGTCCTGGAAGGTCTGGTTTTCGCAGGGGCCCTAATAACACTCTTCAAAGTAATCATAAGCATACTTTGTCCCCTACATACCTCATTTGTGGGTACAGTCAGCTTAGATGCATGCAGGCTGCAGATTCATATAACCTAAAATTACAGATGCATAAAAAGATGCATAATCTGGAAGCTGCATTTAAAATACTGAGACCTACTTAATCAGGCCTAGGTGCACAGGTGCCACGGTAATGGATTTATTATAAACACTACATAGAGTTTCCGCCTCGCTGAAATTGTTACTTAAAACCTGTTAGTATACTGAACACATCTGGAGATGTAAGAAGTGCCCATGAAGCATCGCTCTGGCTGTGGATGGCCAAAGGATCGAGCCACTACAAGTCAGTGTTCATTCCCGGAGTTTATACTGAACCCTGCATGGGCCTGTGGGTTGTTGCGTCCCCACTAAATGCAGATGGCTCTGCAAAAAAAAGAGAGAGAGAGAAACAACAGAAGCCTGTGGTAAGTATGCACCTCATTTAATTCAGCATTTAAAATTACGTAGCACTCTATTTGCATTGATGTTAATGAGATAAACGGACTTTCTCAGAAATTCGGCTTCATCTGTTACAGAGGCTCAAGGCTCAAAGGCCACTTCTTTATCTCATTGAAGCCCCTGAATAAATATTTGCTCTAATATAATAGAAGCAGGAGGCTTTACAAAATTAATTGACCTTGCTCTACCATCAATGGCTCAGTTACCGAGGGGTCAATCTGAAGATGCAATCAATTCCACGGGAAGGCAGCAGTGTTGACCAATTCTTGAGTCCCCAAGAAATTCCTATTCCTTTTTTGGGTGGACTTTGCAACATTAGTGATCAACATCTCAAATTCTCCCAGTAGAGTTCGGAGCTAGTTATCCAGTCTTATGTAACTCTAAACTTCTGCCTCTTTTCCTTGTCCCCAGATCTCTGACCTGTAGCGCTTTAAATACAAAGGCATTTGGGTCACAGCTTGCTTTGCAGCACTCCAGGTCTGTGAGGAAGAGATTTAGCCACAGAGCAGGTATGAGGCAGTGCAGAAGGACCTCCTTTCATACAGGAGGGCAGTTGTGTAAAGAATCATAGAATCATAGAGAAGTAGAGCTGGAAGGGACCACAGGAGGTCATCCAGTCCAACCCATGGTTCAAGACAGGATCCACGATGACTAAATCATCCCAGCCAGTGTTTGTCTAACCTGCCCCTAAAAACTTCCAGGAATGGAGAGTCCAGAACCACTCCAGGTAACCTGTCCCAATGCTTAATCACCCTTACAGTCAGAAAGTTCCTCCTAATCTCCAATTTAAATTTCCTCTGCTGCAGCTTGAGGCCATTGCTCCTTGTCTTATCCTCTGTGTCTACAGAGAACTCTCTATCAACATCCTCCTTATAATGACCTTTCAGTTATTTGAAAACTGTTATCAAATCTTCCCGCAATCTTCTCTCCTCCAGACTAAATAATCCCAGCTCTTTCAGCCTTTCCCTTCAAGCCACATTTCCTGGACCTCTGAGCATTTTTGTTGCTCTCTGCTGGACTCTTTCTAATCTGTCCACATCTTTGAAGTGCAGGGCCCAAAGCTCCTCTCTTAGTTGTGAATCTGGGGCATAGCTCTTTTCCTGATCCCAATCCTTATCTCCTTTTCTTCCTCTTCTGAAAATGCGTCAGGTGCAAGGATCCAGCAGGGTGGCCACTGCTATGATCAACCGCCCATTATTTCACATCAGTTTTAAATGGAGAATGCAAAATCTCACTTCCATATTCTCCACTGTCTGCCAAATGCAAGTATGCAGTAATTTAGAAGGGTGTGATGAGGTTTGGCCACAAAGGGCACTTCCATAAAAGCATGGTCATGTGGTATATGGTGCCCCAAACACGTTTGTGGTGCCACATACTGCACACGCCGGTGTTCTCCATGCTGTAAGTATGCACTGCCTGAGTGTGCGCTGCTCCATTTCTTTTTTTCTGAGGGTTTTTTTGACCCCTGGATATCCTGGTTTTACATTCTGGACATCCAGGGGTACAAAAAACCCATGGAAAAAAAACAATGGAGCAGCACACATTAGAGCAGCACACGCTGCTGAAAAGTGGAGCCAGGCTGTCCAGAGTCGCTGCTGCTGTCAACCAGGCTCTGCTCAGAAGGATCACTGTGGCTGCAGCCCTGGGAGGCCCCCAGGACCCCAGCAAAGCTGCTGGGGCAAGCACAGTGCTGGCCCCAGCCTCCCCTACTGCCCTTGGGGTAACTTGCCACATGCCAAAGTGCACATAGCACAGGCATTCCCTGAGGACAAGTAGCTGTGGCACAAGGTGCCAAATGTGGAACCAAACGTCCATGCATGTCTGGATGCACCCAAAGAACCCAATTTGCACTCTCAGCTGCACTGTTGTTCAGCCAATGTAGGTCCATTTACTTGACTAGAGGTCCTCTGGAGGAGGGCAGAATTACCCCTTAGTGTGTTTTGTACCCCTTCCAGCATTTTGCTGTTATAAATAACAGTATAACCATGTAAGTCTTTTACCTCCTTTGGTACTGTGTCCAAAAGAATAAATTCATATTTGTTAAGGAATAAAACGACTAACAGGTGAATCTCCATTATAGCAAACCACCTGCAAAAGAAAAAGAGAAGACAGTCTTTTATCCAGTATGACCATGTAATGCATACACCCATTCAAGTATCATAAAACTAACAGGATTTCTGTTACACAGTTGAGATCCCATTGCTTTTCTCTCCAAAGAAGTTTATCTTCAGCCTGGAATAAATGGTGAACATCAGGTTCTGCTCCATTGACTGGTAAAGAGCATGAATGTTTTAGCTGCCCCTTCCTGTCTGTGAAACTCCAAAAATTCCTGCATCCCTCCGATACAAGAGTTTATTTTAAAATAGCATTTGTATGCTCAGCCAGCAGTGTGTGCATTTATTTTCCTCTCACGCTGTTGTGAACTGGCAGGAAGCCCAGGGGAGGGAGAAGAGAAGCAGACCTAGAAAATACTACGTGACTAATAGTGATATACAGAAGGTTATATAATACTGCTGTAAGCCTCATGACATCAGAATAACCACGAGAGCTAAGCTTATTATTTACAGTGTCAACGTCAAAACCTGGTGTGAGGTCAGAAAAGCTAGTTTTTCCCTTGTGTCACAACATACCGTATTTACTCAGACCCAAGATGAGGCTTTTCCCCATTCTACATTGGGGGGGCGGAAAGCCCCTTATCTTGGATTCAAACACAAGACAGAGTGGGGGCAGGGATGGGGCAGGCAGCTGCTGTGGCTCCGGCTCTGACCCCAAGCCTGGGTGAGTGCCACAATCAGAGCTGCAGCAACCTTTGCTCCTCCACCCCCCATTGCTTATTGTCAGGCACCACAGCTCCAGTTCTGCCTTCATTTCCTCCCATGTAAGCTCTGACCTCTGCCCAGCACACAGCAGTGGCAGAGGCAGCTCCAGCCCTAGGATGCTGCCACATGGCTCAGCAGGGGCTGGAACCAGAGCTGCACCTGACAGTAAGCAGCTGGGTGGGGGGGAGTACAGAGAGGGCAGAGGCTGTAGGGACCTGTGGCTGCAGGGGGCCAGGTGGTGGGGCTGTAGGGAGCAGAGACTGCAAGGGGTAAGTGGTAGGGGCCAGGTGGCATGCAACAGGGGCACAGGCATTGCCCAAGGAAGCAGGCTGCAGGGGAGACAAGTGGTAGGAGCTGCCTGCCCCTCTACTGCTGCTTTACCCACTGCAGTGGTGTAGGGCAGGGGAACAAATTTAAGATGACCCTCCATGATAGAATTAGATTCTATACATGGACTGTGATAAGAAATATACACATTTTCTATACATAGAATCTAATTATTGGGAGGTAGTCTTAAATTTGAAGTTGTCTTTGATTTGGGTATATATGCTATCTTGTAAGCTCTCTAGCACTTCATCTGCAGGAGACTTCAGACAACCCAGTGAAGAGTCCTTTGACTTTTCTTTTCTCCAAACATTAGTAAGTGATCTTTTCCTACTTTGTCAGATCCCAGTTCATCCTTAAGCTAACTCAGTGGGCCTATGTTTGTATCTCAAGTTGGGCCTATGTTTAAGCACCCTATTGAATGAAGGTTTTCACTAACAATAATGCTTCTCACTTAGCGCTTCGCGTTTGTGGCTCTCAAAGCACTAAACAAAGGAGTTCATTGTTGTTATTCCCATTTGTAGATGGTGAAACCAAGGCACAAAAGGTGAAGTGATTTTGCCCAGTGCCACTCATCAGGTCAGCCCAGGGAGAGCTGTGAACAAATCCTGTGACCCCTGAGGCCCAGTGCAGTGCTTTCTCTACTAGCCCACACAGTTTGGAAGTGAAACCAGAGTTTTCTGACCTCTTCTGAGCCATGCTCACCACTTAACAGAATAAGGTCCCACTGCTACATTTCTCAGAGTACTCTATACAGTGGTAAGCAATTCACTCCTTTCTGTGTTACTTAATGACAAGTGTAGCATGAACTGAACTAATGTAGCTGATGTTAACATAGAGTGTAATAATAGTGAAATATAACCATGTTAGTCTTGTCCTGTAAGCAACTTGAAAACTCCATTTTGTATCCTTCTGCTTGACATAAGTGAATGAACTCTGCATAGCCCTTATGTATGAGTGTGTGTAAAAGGGTGAATGGTGAGAGAATGGCATAGAGACGGGAGAAGAAGATTTAACTGTTTATGTCGGCAACAAGGTGCCAACTCTAAGTTACCAGTCAGTAAACTAATTAATAAATGGCTGAAGAATCCCTTTTAGGCCTAAGGCACAAAGAAGATAATGAGGAGAAGGCCAAGGCTGAGATAAGCTAAAGACAAAAGAAGAACAACTGCAAAATCAGAAGCTGGGTATGGAAAACCCCCAAAGCACTGAAACAAAGGATGCCAATCCCTATAAAAGAACACCTTGAAAATGCCAAGTTGGGTGAGTCTCTTTCTCTACTGCTGTTTCATCAGAGCACGGATGTATCTCTTCACCCCACTCCAGCTGTTATCTTCAAATCTGCAATCTTCAAATCATCATCATCTATTCAATAAGCCTGGGTTGGCCACCCTGGGCTGATATTGAGCAACTATTGCTGGTAACTATATCTGGTGTATGTGTGGATGAAATGGTTGTTTTGTGTATGTGTATGCCTGTGTGTAATGATGTGTATAATGATTTCTGTGTGTTTGTATGAATGGTGTGTCTGAACTTCTATGTCTAACTCATGTGATCAATAAATATGGCACCTTGCCTCAACCCCCTTTATAAAGTCTCGCTCGTGATTTCAGCAATTGGCAATTTGAGTAACACAATGATATGCATCAAATAAACACTATTAGATGTTTGTTCATTCAAAAAAAAGGGAAAGGTCCTCCGGAACCTAACAGTTGGTAGCGCAATGCTGGCTATGGCACTCCAGTTCTGTGTTCAGTAGCCCATAAGACAGCAATGTCATCAGTATTGTGTCCAGCTGCCTTTGACCCCCTAATCTAAATGACTCTGTGCCTCCTTACATCTGTGGTCAATCTTTGCCACATGTTCAAAGAAAAGCTCAAACGCATGCCCTTGGTACTATAATGAGGTACTTCAACCAAGTTACCCAACCTTTCACATAGTATTCAATGGATTAGTAGTAGTAGTTGTAGTTTGTACTGTGAAAGTGTGTAGGAGTCACAGTCATGAGCTCCATGAGTTGCACCAGGTACCAGAGTACATGGGTTTGTGTTTTAATACCAGAGTTTGGCATTTAGTTAAACTGAGGGTAAATGTTTTAGAAGCTTTTCAAAATAGCCTTTATGTCTAAGACAAATGAAAAGGAATTATGTTTTCATAATACAATAGAAACCCAGAATATGACAACAATCCCTGTCTCAAGAAATTACATTCTTTGGATAGGATGAGAGAGAACAGGATGGGACAGGAATAAGACAAAGTAAGACAGTACTATCAGCATGATAGTTGTGGTCTTTCATATGTACAGCCAACCAGCTGTTTCAACTGTCATCAAGTTTTTTTAGTGGCATCAAAGCAAATGAGGACTAGAAGGACAATAAGATAATTTTGTGGATGTCTTCAGGGAGCAACTTGTGTGCATATGCACACCTATGTAAGCACGCTAACACTGAGCAAGCAGGATATTTTCCAATGTCCATTTGCATTGATATTGGCATTTAATTTGATGTTGCCCTTTAGAATTTGGAAAGAAATAAAAATTATACTATATTTCACTCCTTTGTAAAATACCAGCATCCAGTCCAATAAAAATGCACATTTAACTTGGAATAGCAATGCTTGCTTGATTTATATAAATATGTTCCTGGCTTCCTATTTTAACAAACTTTTGTTGTAAAGATATTATCAGAGTGCAGGAAAGCACCTACCCTGGGCAAACAAGCAAAGCCACTTGTATAACAAACTTGTGGACAGCTTTGGGCTTTCTCTGGCTTCTGTAGAAATCAGTGTGAATTGTGCCACTACCCTCTCTGGGAATGAAGCTAGGTGACTTGTGCATTTCAGAGGATGTGGCAATATCAGAGGACTTGGCAAATTCTTTATGCAGTCCAGTAACAGTTCAGCCTGATGGAAGGATAAGATTACAGAATGGTGCTTTATCATTTGCAGATTTAGTCCACAGTAGGTAGACACTGCTGGATGGATACTGACAGTTCTAAAACCCGCCCAATAAAGAAGAGTTTCTCCCAGCCCACATTATGGAGGTAAAAAGTATTAATTTTTTTAATGCACTGGATAATCAGATTATGAATATTAATAACCAGAATATCTAATTGGCCCAAAATAACTTCATATTCTTCTTCCACTAACTCCAAACTGATGTAAAATGGAAAGATTGT